CCTTTGTAGATAGCGGGTTGGCTCTGCCAAGCCGGGTGGTGGTTTATTGCTACTTTTTGGCTAGCTATTACCTAAGTAAGGTAGAGTTTACACTCCTATTACCTAAGTAAGGTAGAGTTTACTGTTCAGACTCTCCTGGGCAGGTGCCAGAAAGCTCCTTGACCTGGGGAAGCTCTAGGGGCCACCAGGCTACTAGGTGCTGACTCAGCACCCCTATTGGCTTTGTTTACTCTCTTCTGCTGCCTTTGCTCACTCGGGGTCCCTCCTTCCGCATAACTGCAGTTCGCACGTGGCCATCCAGATCTTGTATCTCTAGCTCTCATGATCACATGCACCATGATCAGATTTCCTATAGAAATGCCCAAGGGAGCTAATATCCTATTGGGCCCGTGTTTAAGGGATAGGAGCAGAGTGGGTGCCTACAAGGGGGCTGAGAGTGACAAGCAGAGGCACAGGAAGAAAATCACAGAAGCCTAAGACCTAGATCCCCAAGGCAGACACCAGTTAGCACCTCACCCAAATCTGCTTTCTTCTCTTCTTGGGCATACACTAGACTGCATTTCGTGGCCACCACCGTTCTGTGTGTCCATGAGTTCCAACTCATGGAGTGAGAGCAGAACCGAGGGGAACCCCTGCTAGGCCTGGCCTATAAGAACCTTCCACCTGGCCTCCTCAGAGCAATTGCCCCCGATCCCTGGTAGGAATGGAGGCCACCGTAAAAGAGACCTTGGAAACCCTGTGTTGAAGATGACAGAGCCTGTTAGCCTGCTCCCTGGATGACTAGGTAGAGGGGGACAGCTTCAGTGACCAGTCCACTGGCCTGGAACTGACACCCTAGCAAGAAATGCACTTCTGTTGTATTTGAGCCATTCCATTTTGGGGTCTGTTGGTCACAGCAGCAGAGCTTACCCTCACTAATACAGTCTTTCCGTAGGTGGGCACACTATACAAAACCACATGTTGGGGGAGAGAAGAAGAAACAGGGATATCTGTCCTTTGCAGCTTACAAATGTAGCTGGAACCCATATGGAAAAGGAGAACATTTACCAGGCTCTTTGGAGTCAAGGGTTGCCTCTTCTCAAGCGGGGACACTGCCTCTGTTTCCCTGGGTTCCTGAGTTGACCTCAGTGCGTTGCAGCTCCTCTAGCCCTGGGAGCCGGCAGTAAAGCCACTTGTTGCCTGTCAGGGAATATCCTCAGACCTGGCTGAGCTCATTATGTCTGAGAGCCAGCAGCTCTTCCTCCTGTTAAATTCTGTAACGTTGGACAATATGCCTGCTGTCCCCACTTACCCAAGTTCCACGGAATGGACTTGCCAATGTTTCAGCATCCCAACCTACTACCTCTGGCACCTGGAAGTTCAAAGACAAAAGCTTTTTGATAGTCCCCAAGCCCTGATTTTCAGTTCCAAAGCTATCGGTGGTACGGCTGGGTGGGAAGACGGCAGTGATGTGCCCTGAGCTGCCTGGGAAAGGGCACAAGGGGGGTTGCATAAGATCCTGTCCCCTCTCCTGGATTGAGGTTGCTAAGAACGTGTTGAGTGGCAATCAGAAAACTTCCTTGATTTTCGTGGTTTGAGACTGGTCCTTAGAGATGGGCCACACCAGCCCTGATATGCCATGCCCGAGCCCAGTGCTGGCCACCCCACACGTCTCTCTCCTCCCTTCCAGCTTTATCTCTGTACTGCGCTTTTTGGAGTCCTTCCCTTGCATCCGGCCAATTGGAATCCTCTTCATCCCTGCAGGCCCAATTCCTACCCAAAGCCTGCCTTCACCTTCCCCAGCCCCAGAGCTGTCTCCCTGCCCTGGGCACGAGGTAGCCTCTCCATTCACCTCTCTATGTCACATGTTACTGGGCACATGCCCAGTAAATGTCCCATGTTTGCTTGACACCACAGTGGAGCCTGCTTTGCCTGCAGTGACCTCTGGCTCCCTTAGGGATGATGGCCACTGAGGGATTTCCTGGCTGTAGGGTCATGGTTCAGACCTCCATTCAAGGTCCACCTCCTCTGCTGAGTCACTAGCTGAGTGACTTTGCCTAAGCTTCTTAGTTTCCTAAGAAGCCTCAATTTTCCTCGCCTGCAAAATGGAGATTAATAAAATTTACCTTGCAGGACTTTTGTGAAAAATAAACTTGAGAAGGCATCC